AGAAATTACGTTACGCATAGATATGTCACAAGAGAAGAACCGGCCTACACTGGAGAAAAAATCGTAAAATGAGAGAAAGAAAGGAAGGGAAAGAGAACGAAAAGGTGGATAGTCTGCGAGAAGGAAAAGGAATAACTCAAAGTTTAATCAAAGGAGGAAGTATATGATCGAAGACAATGGAAGAAGCGGAGGAAAGTTGAAAAGATCACGTGATCACGGGAAGCAGCACTTCAACCACGGAATTCAAGTCGACATTCAGTTTATCATTATTATTATTATTATTATTATTATTATTATTATTATTATTATTATTATTATTATTATAATCATCATTATTATTATTTCTCGATTTTTTTTCTTTTTCATTTCCTAAGGTAAGCTGAAAATTCATAATATTTCGGTGGACATCGAAAGAGACTGCTACCTCCTGAAAAATGGCGGTGGGCCTTGAAATTTTCAGGGGAAGAGATTCAGAAAGCCCTTAAACTCCTTTGGAAATGCATTTAAATCAAATTCAGCAAGATGAGGATTTTTGCCGAAAAAAATACCAAACGGACCCCTTAACCCTGACAAATATAATATAGCCAGACACGGTGATGGCAAAAAACCTATCCCTAATGCAGTACAACCTAATGGAAAAGAAAGACCTCATTTTAAAGGGCACCTGACATAATGGAATTGTATAGATCAGATAGCTCGCAAATGCTGTCGCTGGTCGTTAATGTGGTCATGTAGGGGTCCAAGGATGTATATTTTAGGTTATTTTATAGTTCAATAATACTTTGTGTATTTCATATACTCACACACAAAACACACACATATATATATATATATATATATATATATATATATATATTATATATATATATATATATATATATATGTATATATATATTATATATATATATATATATATATATATATATATATATATATATATATATATATATGTATGTGTGTGTATGTTGGCAATCAAATCCAATAAATAAAGTACATCATACACACTGCATACAAAGTTTTGTTTATGCGAATATTTCTGAAGGGGTCCAAAGCTTTCATCAGATTCTTGAAAGGGTTCCGTCACTCTAAAAGCCACAGCCCACTTATAACTTTCCTCGTTCATGTTACTTAGTTTAGATAAAACATGTTTAGAATCAACTTTTTCAAAATCATGCATTTTGAAGTTGTGTTGTTTTTTTCACAAAAAGTTCGTCTGCTGAATTCGACCCGTTGTTTTAACTCAAGGAATTACCTACGATGACGTCACAAGGTGTGTTCCTTTACACATTACCAAGAGTAACCAGTCATGGCATGCAGCCAGTGGATATTATATATATATATATATATATATATATATATATATATATATATATATATATATGTGTGTATATAATCAAGACAATAACATATATAAACATAGAATCATAACTTAATTGGGGCAATGGAGGTTGCATGTGATAATTCATCCTCTTCGTCATTTATTCGGGTCACAAAGCGGTTTTCTGTTGCACAATTCACCCTCAATAATTACCATTCACTCTCACACAATACGAATCTCACGGCCACTGGCAAAAGGAATACAACTTATGACGTCACTATCGGATTGGTGGCGCCACTAGTTTTGTTTCAGAATCGGATCTAGCAGACGACGTTTTATGTATAGAATAAGTAATTTCAAAAGGCAACAAATACAAGAATTTTTATGCGACTCATTCATTTCTTATTAAGCTCGGGGACCTAAAAATCCAAATTCACCCCAAAAATTACACAACCTTTATTTACATAGTGGATTACTCTTTAAGAACTACTACTATGTATCCCTTTCATTTAGGGATAGACTTTAGAACGAATTCGTTGAGCAGGCGCTTGATGGGCGACCATTACAGTGTAGGACTAATGAATATAAACCTTACAGCTTTTGAAGATGGGCCAATGGAGTGACATAATGCTATATCATCGGAATAGTGACGCTAAGCAAACGAATGGATGTGTGATCTGCCGTCGCGCCAACAGACAGATATACATGAACGTGTGAATGCATTAGTGCATAAATCAATAGATTTTGCAAGAAATAACACCGGCTAATATTCAGTTAACATGAAAAAGGAAATACTCACTGTTCTCTACATATTGGTCAGTGTCGGCTCGGCCATTACAGATGCTATTCTGCAGTCATTCTTATAACTAATTACTGATGACTCCACCAAACTCACACTAAAGAGGAAAGCAGTTAACAAATATGCCATAATAAAAAGTTTAATATGTCATTTTCAATATGTTTGTAACTAAATCTTTAAAGTGTCAATAAATATGAGTCCCATGCTATACGCAAGTGCAAGATTTATTAGTGTTACATCTGGCTATAAGTTGTGTTTGATGCAACCCGAGCCGCAAGCACGTTGTCGCGTGTTTTGTTTATGTTCAGTGAGAAGCGGGATATCACGTGTTGGGGAGAGTCACTGCTTAAGTTGCTTTGAATTCTGTTAGTAATAATTACTCTCTGTTAAACAGTGGCAATGGAAGGAAAGTGAAGTCAGTGAAGGATTTACAACGTATTAAAATTTCGTTGTGGCCATTACATGTTTTTGTGTAATCGTTTTCTCTCTCTCTCTCTCTCTCTCTCTCTCTCTCTCTCTCTCTCTCTCTCTCTCTCTCTCTCTCTCTCTCTCTCTCTCTCTCTCTCTCTCTCTCTCTCTCTCTCTCTCTCTCTCTCTCTCTCTCTCTCTCTCTCTCTCTCTCTCTCTCTCTCTCTCTCTCTCTCTCTCTCTCTCTCTCTCTCTCTCTCTCTCTCCCTCCCTCCCTCCCTCCCTCCCTCCCTCCCTCTCTCTCTCTCTCTCTCTCTCTCTCTCTCCTCTCTCTCTCTCTCTCTCTCTCTCTCTCTCTCTCTCTCTCTCTCTCTCTCTCTCTCTCTCTCTCTCTCTCTCTCTCTCTCTCTCTCTCTCTCTCTCTCTCTCTCTCTCTCTCTCTCTCTCTCTCTCTCTCTCTCTCTCTCTCTCTCTCTCTCTCCTCTCTCTCTCTCTCTCTCTCTCAATGATTTATTTTAACTGTTCACACGATATTGGTATGTGAAGCTTGCAGTGACGCAACCCCTCTCATTCTATTTTAGCAAGAGCTGCCACTGCTGTTAGTATTAAGTATCAATGCATGACTGCAGACCTTTTTTTTTACCCCCCCCCCCGCACACACACACTAAATATGCCACACAACGCTACTCGTCAATTCATGCAATTCTCTAATGGGAATGAAAAGTGCATTTTTTTTTCCACAAATTTCAGCTTTTTTTCCCACAAATTTCAGCTTTTTTCCCACAAATTTCAGCTTTTTTTCCCACAAATTTCAGCTTTTTTTCCCACAAATTTCAGCTATCACTTTTCATAATGACAGCTTGTTGCTCATTTGTTGCTTGTTAGATATACTGCATCTTAAATGAAATAATTACATTCCCACAGCAATGCAGGTTATAGTGATTTCAGTTTCAGACAAGGAACTGAAAAAAAATAACATTTATCGAAATTTTTAAAAAGATTTAGTACTTACATGTCTCTCGCGATAATATGTGTTGGTGATTATTTATCATTTATTTAAATATCACCCAGTCTATACATGTTTCAAAGTTAAAGAGATTAATAATGGGATAGTTTATAGTAACAAACACTGTAATGCTGTGTAATGTTTTGAAATTTACAGACATTCAGAAATCTCATTATAATGTCTTATCTTTTAACAATGGAGATACAAATATCTAATAACATTGCTTTATTAATTAAACAACTACACGCGGACACATGCACACGTACACGCACACACACACAAACATACAAGTGTATATATGTGTGTGTGTGTTTGTTTGTGTGTGTATGTGTGTATATATATATATATATTATATATATATATATATATATATATATATATATATATATGTGTGTACATATATTGTATTTATGTATATGTATATATGTACATATATATATATATATATATATATATATATATATATATATATATATATATATATATATATATATATATATATAATATATGTGTGTGTTGTGTGTGTGTGTGTGTGTGTGTGTGTGTGTGTGTGTGTGTGTGTATGTATGTATATGTATATACATACATACATACACACACACACACACACACACACACACACACACACACACACACACACACACACACACACACACACACATACACACACACAACACACACACACACACACACATATATATATATATATATATATATATATATATATATATATATATATATATATATATATAATACATACATACATATATACATATATATATATATATATATATATATATATATATATATATGATATATATATATATATATATATATATATATATATATATATATATATATATATATATATACATGTATATATATATATATATATATATATATATATATATATATATATATATATATATATATATATATTATATATACATGCGTGTGTGTATGTGTGTATGTGTATGTGTTCTTATGTATATGTATATGTATGTGTATATGTATGCACACACACACACACACACACACACACACACACACACACACACACACACATATATATATATATATATATATATATATATATACATATATATATATATATATATATATATATTAATATATATATATATATATATATATATATATATATATATATATATATATATATATATATATGAAGAATTAATGACCTCATGTCGTTTCCAAACCTCTATGATCTTTACACGTTCTCAGAAGACGAGAAATATGCGGGTAACCACAGATAGTTGTCAGAACTGCTTATTTTCTTAATTGCAGTTCTTGAATGAATTAACTCATTTCTCAGTTGACGAAAGTCATTCATAAATAAAAAAGAGCCTTCGACGTCATCGTCTGCCTAACCAATCAGAAGCCTCGTGGTTACGATCTCGCACCTTATTGGCTGAGCGTTTGTTTACTTCCTGTCGGGTGTTGTTTACATTCGTACGCCAGAGTAGCAAGGGAAGGATGGAAAGGGCTGACCATGAAACTAGGATTTTATTTTCCTTGTTGTATTGCTAGGGTTTTAGAGGGTATGTTGAGAAGCAGGAATAGGAGACGGACATGCTTGTTCTGGAGTGGAATCCTCGCGAGTTTAGTGACGGTGTTCCTGGTGGTCGCTCTGAAGGATGCTCTCCTCGCCTCCAGCTTCATCTGCTCCACAGATGACATTATGAATAAACACGTGAAGATCTTGGTGAGTGATGAGTAGGTTTTCAGTCACTCAGCTTGCATTGCTGTGGTAGATTTTTTAAAACTCGAAGTACGTTATTCACATGGGAATATTACTGAATTTGTCTCTTTTTTTTACCGAGTTTACAAGTACGGCAGTCGTATTCGATTTCGAGTGGCTATGAGTACGGCCCATAACATAACATAACAATACATATGAGTATTCGCATATAAACATCATTTACGGGTAATGAGTATGAACCTAACCTAATTGACAGTGATATCATCATCTCTTGTCAAGATGCACCTTGTTTTTTTCACAAATCATGGACTTTTCTTCTGTACCAATAATCACTTCGTCTTTTTAGGAAGTGACTATGACAGAAAAACCTCCGATTGGTGTTCTGAGCTTGCTTGGTGAAATAGATAATTGGAGGCGACCTCAGCATTAGAAGAGGATACCACTTTCAGTTTGATTAGGTTCATACTTATTACCCAGAAATATTGTTTACATGCACATATGCATATTTGTGACGTACCCCTAATTTCAAGAAACTGGTTGTGGCTGGTGTACACAGGTGTATCCATGAGAGATTACTGTTATACCTTACCCACATCATATTGTTTGCCCTGTAAAACTGGTCAGCTTATTTCTCCTAAGAATACTTTATGAACATGCTTGTTTCATCATGTGCGTGTATGTGTATATGAATATGAAGATGTATATAATAGAGCTCAAAAGTAAAGTGCTCCAGGGATGTAAGTTGGATTATATGAGAATTACCACTTGGTTTCATGATAAGGTTTGCTTGCCTTTGCTGGAGCACAATAAGTGTAAAGGCCTCAGCAATTGCAGTCATTGTGGTTGTTGCTTAATCCTCTAACTTAGTAAAATACCCCTGTATAGGCTATTGTAGGTGGTAGATCCAATGAATATTGGTTATGCATCATTATTTGCATTATATTAGAGTAATTTACTGTTGTTATCATTTCAAATCTTACCTTGTAATGTCATTTGTAAATATTCTCAAGTTCTCACAGCAATTATGTGTATAGTTGATCAGTGTAGACCAATGAGTCTTGAGGGGGATGGGCAGATCATCCTATTTGGTCTCTCCACAGGCATGCTCCATCAATATTCTCTATGGAAAAAATAACCAGATTGGGATTATTCACAAAAATTCATATAACTGGACAGTACATCTAAGCAGTCCATCAGTATTAGTATTATTGGTATTAACAAAACAGCACTTTTAGTAAGAAGTGTTGAGTCAGGTCTGCTCCCTATCATTTATGATATTAGCATACATTCATTTTACTATTTGTATGTTCTGCGTATGTTGATTGTCTGCATACACACAACATTCACTACAAATGTATATGCGTTCTTCACTGTACAATTTCTGTTTGTTTTTTTCTTTTCTTTTTACCTCTTTTGGTTCCAAATTAATTAATATATTATTTAAGAGATTAGTGTATATGGTCTGTATGGGTTTCTTATAGTAGTATTGCTTGATACACACAGGTTCTGTGTGTATCAAGCAGTAGGCCAGGCAGGTCATGTTTATCCCATAATAGGGTAATTAAGTAGTGATTATAGGCTTTTTCTTGCCATATAGCTAGATACTGGTATACAGGATATTTACTGTACATTTGCTAGAGACCTTAGCAGTCACTTGAGTGGTGTGAGTAATTAAATGTTTATAGGTTTTATCATTCATATTACTACATTTAGTCTTTTATCCTACAATGCTTTGTAAATTTGTGTTATCCCTATTTTAACAAAGTTCATCTTACTGTATTTAGTATGATATTGACAAGATATAACCAAAACTAGTCCCACCTCATATTTTATTATATAAGAACACCAGCATAGGTCTATATGGTCCTTGTAGATCCCACCTGCTTATCCTCTACATTTCACATTCATTATATCATTTATCTCTACCTCTGATGCTCTCGACTCGACATCCCGACTGCACATCTTTTACCTCTGCCATGCCTGATAATAACAGGGGCATGTTCTTTTCATTTGATGTACTTCTATGCCTGATGTTCTTTACTGGTTATATATATCTTAACTTACACCCCCCACCTTCCCTCTCCCTCTCTTTCTCCTTTCCTTCCTTTCTTCCTTTCTCCTTTCTTCTCCTTTCCCCTCTCTGCCACTTATCTCTCTGCCTTTCTCCTTCTTATTCTTTTAATCTCTGTACCCTCTTCCTCTTCTCCCTTTTCCACTGTCTCCAGTTCTCTTCTGCTCCCTCACCCTCTCTAATTTCATGTTCCTTTTTCTTTCCCTCACTCCCTCCCTGTTCCTCCTCTTTCTTTCCCCTTCTCTATTTTCCTCTTCCTCTTCCTCTCTCTTACCGTCTCTTTCCTATGTTCTCCTTCTCTCTCTCTTCTTCTCTCCCCAATTAGTTCCTCTTCTCTCTCTCTTCTTCTCTCCCACTCAATTAGTTCCTCTCTCTTTTTCTCTCCCACTTCCTCTTCCTTCCCTTTCCCTGCCCTCTGTTTATCCTCTTTCTCACTTCCTGCTCCTGTCTCCTTTCCTCTCTCTCCCACTTACTTTTCCTCTTCATTCCTCACTCTCTCTTGCTCTTTGTTCATTCTTTCATTCTCTCATACACACTGCCTCTTGAAGGATTAAATGGCTGATAGTAATGTCATACTCTTCACCTGAAAAAAATGTTTCTTCCTGCAAATACAATTGCTGGTTTGGGGAGGGATATTTTTATCGGATAAGTACAGTGGTGGACAAAAGCCAAGGGAGAATTGAAGATTTGAAGCCCTTCTCACCAAAAGAATGAGGGTCACATTATTTGGGTGTTTGAGACAGAATTCAAATTATGTTTAACAAGAGTTCAGACAGTCATTGCAGGTCTTGTCAGGGAAATTTAAATTTTGATTCCAGTGATGTCAGTGTACTATGATTATACAGATTTACATGTCATTCTTTATTTTGCATAAGGGTCCTAGTTATATTTGTATATATATCCATCTGGCTGTCTGTATTCTATATTCTTTTCTTTGTTATCTGTTAAGGAAGGAGAAATGTGCTTGTAAGTGTAATAAGTATTGTTTGACAAGACAGCTAGTGCAAAAAAATAAGGATAATAATTAGGATGACAGTGATGGAGATACAGTATCCTTATCTACAAATAATTATTACAGATAATATTTTCAGTAATCAAAAAGCAATCCTTTTTTCCAAAGTCTTTCCAAACTATTGCTAAAAGCAGATACAATTCAAAAAGTTGCTACACAATGATTTGGATATGATGCAAGTTAGAAGAATCCCACTGTGACATTCAGCTTCATTTTTCAGTGCAAGGGTCTAGCTGAGCAAAAGAAGAACCATCCTCCAGTAGGGGCTATAAGCGAGAACAAACTCTGCCAAGAGCTTTGTGGCCAAGATGTGTCGTCTCAGCTTGCGTGCCACACCTTCCACCTAAACAAGCCAACTGTCTTCACCCTCAACAATGGGCACAAGAAGGTCATCAAGAGCGTCATTTCGACCGAGGACAGGGAGGAAGCCGTTGATGAGCCAGATGAGGCAAGTGAGGTAAGAGCAAGAACATTAGAGCAATTTATTTCTACTGTGTGTAAATATCTTTGTTATTTTGCAAATCATTGTTACATAAAGATAACAGTATGACATGATAACAGAATAGAAGGAAATAATATTGCTTATCTGTATGATGAAATATAATGTGATATAAATGATATACATAATTTTGTGATATATATGACAATGAACGGAATAGAATAGAATATTAGTATGACATGCATTATACCAGTATAATACTAAAGCAGTGACTGTGAGCATAGTTCACCCTGTCTGTGATATGTTCTAATTAAAATTGATGCTTTCTTGTTCCAAGATAGGGAATTAAAATCTTTTGTACATTTTATTATGTGATTTTCATGTATTGTCTCATTTATGACATCGTTTTTAGCAGTAATGGTTTGTTGGAAAATAGCTAATTTTAAAATGGAACAATTTTTACACTGTCACTATATTCATCACTTTATTTAACATTGCACTCCAGTTGTCATTGCTTCTTCTTTATTATCTTCTTCTTTTCTCCTTCTTCTTCTTCTTCTTCAAAACACTATATTTTGGTAACTTTCATGTTGACTACAGGGGAAAGATTCATACATTTCACTCAAAAAGTAATGACCTTAGATTGTGCTCACTTGCTGAGTAAATATTTGGCTTTCCAGTAATGGAAATGAAACAAAAAGCATTATTTTTTTTATTATGTTTCTGGTACATTAGGTATTTTATTCCTTAAAGGATTTGGTGTTCCTGAAGTTTACATAAGAGTAGATCATCCTGTATTACAGTTATCCTCCACTGAATGTCCACTTTCCATAGAGTAGATCCCATGCAAACACCATGTTGTATGTTTAAGTAGGAAGCTGTGATGTAGCTCTGCTGCCCAAGTAGCGCTGGTTTGTGAAATATTTCTTATTAAGTGAGAATTTTTGAGATAGATATACTTAAGAGATACATGAGAGAGGATGCTTGATATATGCAGCCAGACATTGTATTAAAGAAAGTTCAATAGGAAGATGATTGCATATTAAAGTGCAATACTAAAATGTAGGAAATTTCTTTTTAAAACACTTAGATATGTAGCTTATATCAGGAATTCCCATTGTATATAGTGTGATATTTAACAGGTTTCCATCAGAAGCTGTGTATTTGAATATTGTGAATTTACCTAGAATATACTTTACTCTAGCTAGATGGTGTGTGTGCGTG